TTTGTCTGAGTTTCCGGAAAGGTCTGCTGTTTTTGGATTTTTGGAATGGGGAGGAATGATAATGAGTGATGCATTGTGGGTGATGATTATGATTCATGATTTATATTTAAATAACACGAGATATAATCCCTACGAAGGATAGAGGGAGACATAATATGCATACTATTGATTATTATATACCTAAGAAGGGAGAGCAGAGCGAGGCTAGCTATTTCAGCGACATGTATACAACATACGAGAATAAACATATTTACATTATGAAGAGTATCACGGTTGCTGTAAGTATTGCTGTTGTTACCTCTGTTGATTCCACAGCTGCTGGGAAAATTCTCATTACTGTTGCGAGAATCTTCCTAACTGCTATTTGGATTTTGGGTTTCCCTGCGTGTGACTTCATTACAAAGTAAATGATATTGTCGAATGTATAGATGGCTACTTTGCTATGTGTGTGGTTTGTATGGTTGAGATATATGAGTGAGTGAATGAGCGAATGGGTTTCGCGAGATGCGGCAGGGTGATGGGATTTGAGATTTGGGATGTGAAAGGTGTAGGTAGGATGATTGATATGTGTGTTGGAAGCTTTTGTATAGATTGAAGATTTGTTGGGGAGGGATGGTAAGACAGTGGCGGATGGAAGAAGGGAATAGAAGGATAGCCTCAGACGCAGGGTATTCAATAGTCCGGACTGCAGTCTAGAAATGAAGATTGTAAAATCTCTAAATTGATTAAAACATTCAAATCATTTGAAATTATTGAATTATATTGGAAAATTAAATGATTTTCATATTTCTAACTGCTTTTAGATATTCAAACTTTTATATTGTTGGACTGCAGTCCGGACTATTGGATACCCTAGTGATAGGAAGGTAGTGGGAGGTAGAGGGGGTCTGGAGAAAGGGGGGGGGGGAATTGAGATACGAATATAAAAACGAGGTGGGTATATGAGTTCGAGATGGAAATGAGACAGTAATGACAAGAGAACTTGATGATTTGGTATTCAGCATACGAAGTACTAGTAGGCATGTAAATCCATGAAAAAGAAGTCAAGTATAATGAACACCAATGCAATAAAGTATCGTCTTGAAACGAAACCCTTTCATCCAGCATCGGATTGTCTCTCATTTGCTGGTCCAATATTCATTGTTTAGCACTCTATCTGTCGATGTTCAAAGGTTCCAGACCATTAGATTTACCAATGTGAGACCTTATATCAATCAGAAAGCGGAAGTGTCTTGAACTCTGAACTTAACCCTTGATTCAGAATCGTCCGTAGCAAGGAAGATGAAAGGGCTTTTGATAGGAGAGAACGTGTGTACTCAGCATCCAGCTTCGAGAAACAGAGTGGCAGTGGCATGCCCTAGCCTAAAAGTCGTCATGAAGCTTTCCACATCGATTCGCTTCTTTCTTCGAGTTCGGCAAAAAGATTTGAATTGGTTGATATTGCCAGTGCTGCACGCTCTCTTAGATATTAGAAACTCGCTACATAGGAATTTCCCATCTATATTTTCATTCAGACCAGATGGAGAAATCTCGTCATTGATCGAAATTGTTGTAAGAGCTGGTCGCACTCGCAGCGGAAGATCTTGAAATATTGGGTTTTCGTGTAGATCTATGTTTTTGATACACCTGAGTCTGCACAACTAATTTTGTCTATTGCGCATCAAATAATCGAGATGTTGTGACCTTGTAATTCAAAGGCTCCTCTGATTTATAGTAGAGGGTTTTTAAAGCCTCTCATACAGCAGAAATTTAAACCATTAACATCACACCAAGTTTTACATCCAGCTAATGATTATTAGCAAGCTATCATAGCCTCCAGTTTTTGTTTGTACTTGCAGACTGTATACAGACTCGGTTCCTATGACATATTCTGTGAAAGTTGTTGAGTTCCGAGGGGGGGGGTCCGAAATATGTAGACATGCATAATAAGCTGGATAGATAAAAGTTCTGGCGGCTTTACCGTCTGTATAGTTCACTAGCTGGATAGCTGTGGTAGGTGAGTTAAGTGAGTGAATGAGTGAATGAGTGAATGAGTGAGTGAGTGAGTGAGTGAGTCAATAAATTGGTGAGAGTTTTATGGATTTCCATTCCATCTCGGTATGATTTCTATGTATAATATCGGACATGGATATGCGATAGATATCACTGTATAGATATGTGAATAAAGTAGAAGGGTAGCAACAAGAATAATATCTACAACTTAATGATACAAGAACGCTTAAGTCCATGAAAGAAAATATGAGTTCTTGAAGTAGAGGCTTGGTAAAGATTTTTAGCGAAGAGAAGAAAATCTCATATTTGAGTAAGTTATAAAGATATATTTGATATAGATGTTTGATTTCTGGTGAAATGTCAATACATAAACAAACGGTACAAATTTTGGTAGGAAATGAAAACTGTAGGATACAAAAGCTGAGTTGTCCTTGGGTAGTCCATCATCAAACTAGCATTTCCAATTAGGAAATCCAGAAGGGGGTGATTTGTAGATGTGCATCAAATGGTGAAAATCACGGGGTATAGGTAATGGAAGAGGAAAAGGCTCCATGCTTCCTTGACTTATCGGTTTTATAAATACAGAATACTTATTAGGTAATCAATTGGGGTGGGTTTGTAGATATATAGTGAATGCTGAAAATTGAGGAGAAAATTGAGGGGTGATGAAAAAGATTGAATTATTTTCTTGGGGAGCTGGGATTGTGGAATGATTATTGAAGAAAGATATTAGTGGTGACTAGTCTACTCAAGATGTTTACTTTATCCTTGTGGTTCAACATGATACATAGAAAGATAGATAGTCAATACCATGAATAAGACATCGGAAGAGACAACATTTCTTCAAAAATTGTATCCTCAGAAATATTCTTACAGAAGAGCGAGCTACATATAATATCAGCTACCTATCAAATCAACTGGAAACTAATTCATCAGCACACTCAAATGACCAAGTCGTATCATATACGTATAGGCATGAACTCAAGATTCGCACCTATGTCGTGGGTAGTGATTTCCCCAGCTAGGTATCCCAAATAGGAAATGCCTTCCGAAATAGGACATCAAGAAGGGGGTGAATTGTAGATGTGCATCAAAAAGACATTTTGATTGTAGAATCACGGGGTATGATGTTAGTTAGAAGTTTCCGAATCATTCCTTGGATTGTTAGTCCCCCGCCTGCTAGGCCTATCGCGTCATCTCTTTGAAAGGGGAATTATTTGACGAGGAGATGGTAATTTATATCGAACAGATTTCACCGGACCTTTTGATCCTCCACTATGAAGTATGGCGGAAAAAAGTTACAATTGGAATCGTCACTTCGGGATTAATCGGGGGAAAGGAGCGCTATTGTTCGTTTCAGCAACTTATGTAAATGACGAATATGATACAATCAATCGTACACTTTTACCGGGTTTCTCAACACTAAACCTCAATGTATGATGACAATCAAAATCTGGTTACACTCAGCCGGCTAATGTGAGTAACCAAATATGTGCCTTCTTCAGAGAACATCTGAGCAGTAGTTCACTCGAGTAGAAATCCTCGAGGAGGTGATTTTTAGATATGAAAAATCAGATTCTTTTCACCAGATTCTCTAGAGCTAGAGCTAGAGCTATCGCGAGGTATGAGGTGAAATACCAAGAGAATTTACCTGGATCGTTCCAAAATTCTACAGCAAAATGACGAAACGACATTATGGCAACGGTGTTCAATACTTTAGTTTGGATGAAGTGAGTTAGGTCACCAATCTTTATGGTAAGAAATGTTTAATTTATGGGGATCGTCGAGCTATCGACGTACTAGTGCAGTAACTAGTAGGTAGCGCAACAGTAATTGGTAGATGAGGCTCTGCGACGGTGGCATGCGGGGTATGGGGATTTTCCAATGGTCATATTTGTCTTTCAAGTCTGGAAAGAGCCTGGGGAGAGTTGAATGAAAAGTGATGGGATTTTTTAAAAGGAAAGACGAGGGGTTTGAGGGACGAGGAAGAGGTTGAGATTCATCTTTATAATAATATCCTGTTTTGAAATGAACGTTTGACTCTTTTCAATGACTGGTAGGTAGGTATATAAAATCTCTTGCTCCGTCAGTTTTCGTAAAATATGATTTAAGGGATGGACTAAGATGTGCTAGTGACTAGCAATGAAGCTTGGCTAGATTTTTCTTGGTTTGGTTAAGAAATAGGAATGATTTGAGCAATATTGAATTTAAGTTTTCATTCTTAAAAGACAGATGTACCATTTCTGTGTTTCTAAGCTTTTATTCATAGACTAGCATTGAAGAAGAAGATCTTGTCAGAAATGAGTGATATTCTCATTTGGCAAGATACCCGAGTTTTTCCAGCTTCGGGACACAGAGAAAGCACCAGTACAGGAATGCTGTGTGAAATCAACCACTAAGATCAAAATTCTTGAACTTGAAAAGCTGATAAGGTACTAATTGCAACTATTAGTCAACTGGTACTCCGAAAAGTGACGATAAAAGCTTGAACTTAGCTTCGAATGAAGCTATCGCCCCGCATCAAAAAAGACCGGATGACTTTGGTTCACTACTACTTACACTAAATAAGACATTTGCCTCCAATTGAGCTAAGCTACAATCGCCAAGCACGCAACAATAGAGTCATCACCTGGTGAACTATGAACAAGTGCAAGATTGTCATCAAAACCTTATATTTAGACCAAAATGTGTGCGTAATATCAAGATTCTCTACCGAACTTGAGTAGATCACACCTCATAGTCCCGAGGAGAGCGAAGATTTTCTCCAAACTAATGAAACTCTGCTATCCAGTGGTTCTAAAGAACAGATAAACTAAATTCTCAATTTCTATAAAAGGTTTGGAGAATCCCCATTCCTCTAAGTTCTTTCTTGAATCCTAAAATATCAAACATCGATCAAGACAACTCATACACCTTTACTTCACTTGACTACACGACAATACTTCCAATATACAACCATACTTCGACACACAACAACACTTTAACATCAACGACAATAATTAATCAGCATGCATTTCTCAAAAGCTGTCATCACTGCCATCTTGGCCTTCACCTCAGTACAAGGTCTACCAACTGTAAGTTATATTCCATCTCCTTGTAGATAGTCTCAATTGCAGTCAAGCAATCGAAGGCATTCGATACCGGAACTTGATTAGACCACTCGAGTCACTTGAGGAGCCGAGTTTGTTTTGGTCATTGAAAGCTTCATATTGTTTTACTAGTCTTATGGTCCAGACCATTGGACTCTCGGATCAACCGCGTGAGCTTTAGCTAACAAATCGTAGCAAAAACGCTGTGACACATGCGGTGTTTCCAGCAAAGAATCTAAGATTGAAAAACGTGCTTCTCACGAATCGCCTTACAGGAAAGCGCGATTGAGACCTATCGGCGATTTTTGTGACAAATGTCCACCAAAGGAATTTTTCGAAGCTGGTGGGGCTGGACATGGCATGACTCCACACGGCATGATGGGAGAATTCGTTACCGGCATGTGCAATGACCATTGTGGGACTGGTTATCCCGATACCTACCCAGTTCTCCAACCTAGAGTTACTATTTCTTCATCTGAATCAAACCCTACCCAGCCTGAAGTTGTTACTTCCCCATCCGAATCAACCACCACCCAACCTGAAACGACCCCTTCCCAACCAGCAAGTCAAGAATATCCTGAGATCAAGTCGGATGATCACAAAAACGATAATTACACCATCCAATTTGAAGCTGACGATATCATTGAGTTCAAGCCTGAGACGAAGGGCACTTGCACTACTGAGGGCAAGTTCAACTGTATTTCTGGAACATCGTTCCAGCAATGTGGCAGCGGCACCTGGAGTACTGTTCAAAACATGGCTCCAGGAACTGTTTGTTTAGCTGGATACGGGTATGATTTGAACACTGCGGCAGTTGAAAAGAGAATGGCGACGACCCAGGATATCCAGAACTTTACTTCAGAGGAACTGGTGACCAAGGCAGAGAAGCAACCTGCTGAAAAGAGACTGTGGATCCAAGTTTTTAAATGGGAATTCTTCGGACCCAAACCACCAGTGCACCTTACTCCAGCGGAGCAGGAAGAGAAAGAAAAGGCAGCAGAAGCAAAATATGCCAAAGAATTTCATCAGTATGGCGGACATGGAGATCTAAAGAAGGAAGCTGAGGAAAAGAAAGCTGCCGATGAGAAACACGCCAAAGAATTTCATCAATTTGGTGGTGTCAATAAGGAAGACGAGAAGAAGAAAGCCAAGGAGGAGGAGAAAGAAGCCCTTGCTTGGAAACAATTTGGACCCAAGGAGGATGGAGAAAAGCAAGAATAATTTGAAGTAAAAGATACAAGGCTTTGGATGCTCTCGAGTTGGGAAATTTGTTTTATGTTTGCTGGTACTTAATCAGGAGTTGGAAATTTTGTTTAATATGGTGTTGGTACTTGTTTTGTAATTCTTTTCGTGTGAATATGATACTCCATATAGCGGATGGTAAATCTCACACAGGCGCAATATAGATTGATACAATAAAATTCAGGAGTTTTTCCAACAAACTTCGATATATCTTGACTGTCTGGGATTTGATACGTGAACGAAGATGACTCAAACGAAGTGAATTGAAGAGTGGCCATGTGAATATAAAGAACAAACACGAAAAGTAGAAGATTTAAATTCCGCGATAAATCAAGTCATGACTGCGTTGCCTTTGTATCCTTGTATAAAAAGCGTGGAAGTACACATCGCCCGACACAGCATACCTACAGCCCTGCGCAGACGTTATGCAGAGGAAAGAATATCTAGATCTCTTTACTTACTAATTATATTCTCAATACCCCATACAAACCCCCGATTTTGAAGGACGGAAGAATGATTCGAGGAAAGATAACGAAGGTATACATGTAGCTGACCCAAAAAGCGGTGGTGGAGAAGTGCAGAACGATAAGTACTCGGTAAGTTCTGACTCTAGCCGTCGCAATGAAAGTTGAGCCAAGATTATGCTAGAATTGAAGAGATTGCTGAAACCTTGAAGTTTGGAGCTGAGAACTGTACTTATTTAAACCTACAGGCTTGTAAGCGCGCGCAAGGCTGCATCGAACTCATAATAGTAGATGCGAATGAAGCGACAGGTCCCGGCCATAGGCCATTGAAACACTCCACATATAAATTACGAGCTGCGATTGGTTTGAATTTTCGTAGATGAAGGCAATGGCTCTCATCGTCCACACAGAATCTGCCATCATGATGTGCACTCCCACGAAAATATAATCTATTGGCGAAGCATATGCACGAATGTTCAAGTCGGTATGAAGTAAGGCTTTGTGCAGGGCTTCTTTGGTAACAACATCGAACCAACTCTAGGGTAGTATTGCATATTTTTCACATGACATGTAAAGCGAAGGTGTCAGCCCCGTGCCTCTGCGATTCTTTTAAATACTTGTTTACAAGTAGGTATTCATGAAGGTGTGAAAGTTGTTTGTTTAATGTGTTGGGCTGTGAAAGTTAGCTATGGTTTCTCTTGAAGTATTTCAGGAGCAGTTCCTCAAGTTGAAAGAGGTTGAGGAGGGAAAGGATCAACTCATTGGGGTTAGTCGTTCGTCTTTCTACCCCGCACATTACTAACGGACGATTTTCTTCGTAGAAATTGTTTGCCCGCATCAATGAGTTGGAAAGTGGTCTGACGGAGACGAAGTTACATCTTGAGAGAGAACAGGATACTGCGAAATTGTACCAGTCGAAACTCTCTGATGTTCAGGGAAATCTGGCGAGAATCGAAGAAAGAATCGTATGGCTGCCTAATGATTGCTCTTAGATGAGACCATCGTTATTGACAACATCCGAAGGATTCTAATAGTTATGTGTCAGTTCTGATTGATGGTGATTGCATGACGGTATGTACAAATGCAACTTTTTCCGAGTTATCAAATTCGTACTATACCAGCCACTAAATGGTCGAAAGTTTTGCGATGAATTCATCAAATCTTCTCAGCAAGGAGGGCTAGAGACCGTCCATCGCCTAAGAACAAAAGTGTGCGAATATCTTTCAACAGAGCTGGAGTTACCAAGCCAGATTTCAATCCGCATACGAGTCTATGCAAATAAGAAAGGCTTGGCATCGGCCTACAGTCACAATAAAATTCTAGGTAATGCAGATGATTTTGGTATGTTTGTTCGTGGTTTCAATATGGGACACCCCATGTGCGATTTTGTGGACGCGGGTGATGGGAAGGAGTGCGCGGATTCGAAGCTGAAAGGTACTTTTCCCAAATTCATGAAATATGAAATCTGTTAGAAAGGAGAATCCGTTACTGACACTCGTTGTAGAATGTTTCACGCACGATATGGCTGATGTCCAATGCCGAGCGGTCATCTTTGGTGGTTCAGCAGATAATGGTTATGCGCGGATTCTCCAGCCATATGTAGGAAATATTGCAAGGAGTAATCGAATCGTCTTGCTTGAAGGACCTCCATTTGCTAAAGAATTAGCAACAATGAAGGAAAAGTTCCTCGTTGCTCGCTTCCCGGGTGTGTTCAGAAACACAAAGTTATCAGTCCGGCGGGTATCATTACCAACCACACCTCCTAGAAGTTCCACTCCAGACACGCCCAGCTATGCTGCAAGAGTGCTGGGTAATGTCGGTTCGGATGCTGTAAGTATAGAGGAAAGCAGCGATTCTTCAGTGGCTGTTCCGGTACGAAGTAAGTATGCGGTACTTCGGAATAGCAAAGGACAGCGTCTCGATGCCATCATTTCCCCGCCTTCATCACTCATTACTGTGATGAGAAACACAAAACACTGCAACATGTTTCATATTCTGGGGGAATGTCCGTATGAGAAGTGTAATTTCTTGCATGGGAAGAGGCTTGACAAGAAAGGGATTGACGCTCGACGATTCATCTCACGCTTCAAACCATGTCCCTCTAAGTTGAATTGCGGAGATGAAAAGTGTTTATTAGGGCATCAATGTCCTGACAAGGGGTGTGCACGAATTGGAAAAGGCTGTAAATTTAACAAGGAGATGCATAATGTTGATAGATCTTAAGAGGACCATCATGGGGTCGACGTGTTAGTTCGTTAGGATCTGGGAGACAAGATTTTCCCGGATACTCGTGTTTTGCGTGCTAGGTAGTTGAAAGAGGCGTGTAAGGTTCAACAGAGCTTAACCTCGAGGATGATGATTGTGCTTTGTCCATTTATTTGTTTTCGCACAAGTACGAATGAAAAGATCGATCAATCACTCAGTCAATCAATACTTGTGTTGTGAATATTGACAAGCTAATGAGCCACACACATGAGCCACACATCCTATCCACGATTACCACTGGTAGCCCGGATGAGTAAATTATATCATTTGAGTAAAGTTTAATATGATTTATTAGCATATGAGTCATATCATCAAATAGACTACTTCATTTTATATACAAAATTTATCTATACATAATCATGCCTTTTCTTTATTTATGAATATAATTTTTCAAGAATTTCATTTATAAAACCTAAATTTTTAAGTATTTCAAGAACCTAGTGAAAAGATTTTATAAAAAACTTTATTTTTAATAATACTTATTAAAGAAATAGTTTTTTTTATAACAAAAACCGTAACAGTTTTTATTTCTTTAATAAATAAAAAGTTATTTCTATAAATATTATATTTCTAAAAAGCTAAATTTTTATTATTATTTAAAACTCTTTTTTTCTTCAAGATAATAATTAGTCTTTGAAATCTAATTATTAAAAAACCTCGATTTTAATATATTTTCGAAGTGGTTTATATAATCTACATGCTGATGAACTACATTATATAATTTTATAATATTATAATATTTAATATTTATTAGCTATTATATTAAGATTATAGCATATAGTATATATATAATATAAGTGTTACGAGAGCTGCCTCTAGGGTCACGTGGAAGTGTCTAGAGATCTTTCAAGATAGTTTAGATTAAACTTCAAATAGGAATTCAATAAGGTTATAATTGGTTATAATTCTTGTAACTATAATAATGAAATTAATAATTATTCTTAAGCATAAAGCTCTACATTATAATGAAATCCATTCTCTATATAAACCTTTATACTAAAGTCGACTAATAAGTCAATCAACAAGTCGATCGATAAGTCGATCGACTTTTGATCACATAACACTTTGTTACGTCGGTCCATCCTCGGTACCGCGTCACATGACTCTTAGCACGTGATGGACCCTGCATGACAGGCATAACGGAATGTAGGTCCATACAGACCAAAGGTCCAGGACCTCTCTAGGTCCTGAACGCTCCAGTACAGTACGAAGGTCTATATAAGGGAATGGGATTTCATTACAATGTAGAGCTTCGTGCTCAAGAACAATCATTAGTTTCATTACTATAGTTACGAGAATTGCAACCAGTTACCAACCTTATTGAATTCCTACTTGAAGTTTAGTCTAAACCACCTCGAGAGAACTCTAGACACTTCCACGTGACCCTAGAGGCAGCTCCCGTAACACACTTGTCCTGTAATTCCTATTATCCTAACTTGTCCTTTTGTCCTAAGGTTAATCCCCTAGGATATTATTAATTCTAGTAAAGCCTTTTTACTTACTATATTCTATTTTTCCTAAAACCTACTATCCTAAGAACTATATTCTAGATTTTTAAAATATCCTATAACTAATACTATATACATGCCTAAGGCTCTCCTTAGGTGCCTAATGTCCCCCAATATACTACAACTGAATCACTAAGGCCTATAAGTCAGTGATTCTACAGCCTGTTACTAATCCGTTGTAACAATAAGCTTTTATAAGAACTTTTTCTAGAGTAGAAATGAAATATAAGTATTTAATACTATTATACTCATATACTACTCCTTATTAAAGTCCTTGTAATAATTCATTAATAATAAATTCTTTATCCTATTTATCTTTAATCTCGTATTAAAATATTCTAAATTATTAATACTATCTATAGCTATAATACTTATAAGATTACTATTATCTTTAAGTAATCTTCTAACGTAGTTTATTAGTGGGTCGGTCATATCAATGGATCGATTACTTTTACCTCGAATTGTTACTTTAAAGCTATATTATTCAACAATAACTAAATTAATTGATTAAAATTATTAAGAATTTAATAATCTAGGATTTATTATATTATTTTAATAGGTTCTTGTATTATAACCTGTCTTTCTATATTTATTATAATATTAATTAGAAAATATTTCTTTATTAGAATTTCCCTCTTTTTAATACTTATTGTATTGAATCTAAATATCAATCTTTTATTGAAATAATATATTAAGAGTTTTTTATTCAATAAGTACTCCTCCTTAATATAATTAGGTTTTT